CCCTTCAGCTCTGTGTGGGGAACTGCCCACTGGAGACTGGAGCAGCAATTTTCCTGGAAGAACCCCCAATTGTGACTGATTTTCCTTGCAACTCACGTACCTGTACCTCTAGGGTCAAAGTAGATTTTCCATCCCATCTCCTCATGTCCTCTTTGTGGTCCCACAAGTAAAACCACAGGGTACCTTGTGGTGTGTACCCTCTATATCCTCTCTCTTGAGTAAAAGAACACTTACTGTTAATAATTGAGATAGTGGTCTGTACAGGTGGGGAGTAAGACCTATCCTTTTTGTTTCTGGAAGTCCTGGAAGTTTTCCCCACTTTTCAGACAGTTTTTCCATAGCTGAGACACAAGTCCATAGGGAGGAAGAGAGATTTTCTTTGTATTGCCGGAGTTGGCAAGCCACTTCATCCACCGCCAGTGCCTCTTCATCTTTCCAGGTCATTACTGCCAACGAGTTGGCATACAGTGATGGTGCACTCCGTACAAACGTCTGCCACATGGGCTGTGTGCACCTGACTTCATCTGGATCTGTGGGTGACTGCGCGTTGTTTGGGTAATAATAAATCATCTCCAGCATGGCTAATTCCCTCAGGTACTGGATACCTCTCTCCATGGTGGTCTACTTGCCTGGGTGACATATAACATCTTCCTTAATGGGATACCTTTCCTTCATGCCTGACAGGAGTCTCCTCCAGAGTCTGAAGACTTGTGTCCCTTTTCCAATTGCTTTGTCAATGTCCCTTTCCCTAGACAGTGATCCCAACTGCTTGGCTACCTTACCCTCTAATTCCAGGCTACTGGCCCCATTATCCCAGCATCGGAGCATCCAGGTGATGATGTGCTTGCCTGGACAACGACTGCAATCTTTTTGCATATCTCGCAGCTCACTCAGGGAGAGAGATCAAGTGGCTACCTCTTGTTCTGCCTCTTCCTCCTGTTCTTGTGGTGACCCTGCTTCATCCTCCTTTACTAAACGAGCTGACTTTTGTGTCCATTTCTCCTTGTGTGTAGAGGTGACTGATACCGGCACCGGTTGGTTCTTTGGTTCAACTGCAGTATCTGTCACTGGGGTTGGAATAGCCACAGTGCCTGTTGCTTTGTCGTCAGATCCAGAGACCTGACCCAGGACACTGGGTCAGCAAAACACATGTGCATGTGCACAAACACAAACGCATGCTGGTTTTTATACTCTCCATGCTTTTCCCTGCTGCATGGTCACACGCGCTGGAAAAAGCACTGACCACATGGGTATGTGACTGCCTGTTTTCCATAGGCTAGCAGAGAGACAGAGGTGAAATACTGAGCTCTTCCCCACTGCTTCATCCCCTGGATGCTCCTATTCTGAGCACAAGTAACACTGGGCAGCGGAGAAGCTTGTACCACCCCTGCAGCGCTGCCTGTCCCACACCTGCTCAGTCCAAACTAAGGTTTTAATATATAAAATGTAGTGCGATTGAAGCCTTTGCTTTTCTGGTTTGGCTCTTTAGGTCACATCTTTCACACACAATATGAGGCCTCAGAGAGGGCTGTGTGATTCAAGGAGACCTGTTGCGGGGCATGGCACTGTGGGAAGCCCACCAAGTATTATTAGATCTTTTTGATAAAATGGTGAGAAATATCAGCACTGAAAGCAAGGGATCAAAAAAAAGGTCCAGCCTCGCACACCGACGGCTTGGAACTTCCATGAGCCATCAGCTCCATGTGAAGATGTAGCAGCAGCTCCTAGGGAAGGTGTTAGATGCAGAATGTGAGGCAGCAGCAAACACAGAATGGAGTAAAATGCCAACTAGCGCTGATCCTGCAGCTATGAAGCAAGATAATTTCAGAGAGGAAAAAGAGGAATTTTTCTAGCATGTCTTCAAGTCCAAGGCTGGAAGCCTGGAAAGTTTTGCTTGAGGAAGTTTGGCATTGAAACAAAGGGTGAGACTAAGGCTTTTATTCATTGCACTTAAGCTGGGGTTTATTTGAATACTTAAAGAGGGAACCCAACTCTGTATAGTCAATGAAGAGAGCGGGGAGACACTTCTGGAAGACTCTGGTGCTTTCCACTGGTGCTGGAAGAGACGCAGCAGGAAGAGACCGAGACATGCCGGCCGAGTGGCCAGACCGGGCAGCTTGGCTTTATGTGGTCCTCGTTCTTCTTTGCGGCAGTGTAATAAAGCGCCTTCTCCCAGCAGACAAAGCCGCTCTTTCTGCGGTTGTTCCCAGGCCGGTGCCTGGTACGAGACATCAGCAACGATCTCAGTTATCTCCAATGTCACTGCCTTCTTTTTGAGTACTTTTTCTTGCCCTCCACAAAGCTCTGAGGCAAGTTTTGGGTTGCCTGCGACTGCTGAGGTCATGCCACAGTGGTCACACATTCTAACCTATGGCCTTCTAGCTTCTGTGCTGACCTCCTTGGGACTGCTGAGGTCACTGGGCTGAATAAAGGGATTCTGCGATGCTGCCACCAAAAGCACAAGCCAGAGCATGGTCTGCTCAAACACAAACATCCTCTCAGACCAGGAGGGACTTTTACATCCTCCCCATAACACACGTTTGGGATTCTTTCACCAAGTGCCTTTTTGGGAGCGGTTGCACCTCACCATGGATTTTCCTGGCTACTTAATGATTAGTGTGAAGAGGGAGAGGGCCCTGTAGAAATGCTGTCTTTCCTTTTCAGTTTGCATTTATTTTCAGCTTATTTTCACCCTGCATATAGGGTGAGTACTTTTGCCACAGGGCTGTCTCCTAACTTCATGACTCAGAAGTCAAAATCAACATAAAAATAGTCCCCCATCTCCTATGTTATTTTGTTCAAATTAGAAGAGTCCAACTGTTTTCTTAAATGCTGCATGTAATCAGGAATGTTACATTTTCTTGTATAAATTATCCTTGTGTATTGAAATATAAACAGCCCATGGGAAAGAAATTCAGCATACATTTCATTTCTTCCATTGTTCAAAGGAAAAAAAGTGTACTTATCTGCTGAGAAATACTCTGCTTACACAGGGGGAACCAATCATCAATACCAGCTTACCAGCATTTTAATGATCGCCTGGAGGGATCCCAGAAATTATAACATTCAATCATCACCAGAAGATGATGACAAAAAATAATGGGGACCGAGAGTCCCTGTGGCAAGTGCAGTTGACAGTAACACTTTGGGGTACCATTAAACTGCTTGATTCTGGTGATTCTAAAGGAAAATTTTAGGCAACCTTTGGAAGATGCTGGGACTAGAAGTGCTATCAGTGCAGCAAGTCACTGCATGCCCCAGTCCCCCGGGCTGTGAGAGCCAGGAGGTGACCACCTCCATCTCCTGGGATGGTCTGGAACCTGCAGAACTCAGTGCAGGGCAGACATTGTGAAACACTTCAGCCTGTCGACACACACGAGATCTGACCAGGCACTTTCTTCTCACCCGCATCACCAAGAAGATGTTTTTGTGTCGCTGTCACAATAAATTACAGAGCAGAGTGAAGCCTGTTGCTGTGGATGTTTCAGTTCCTCAGCTTCTTCCTACAAGACTGTTTTGGGGAAGGGAGGCTTTTGTGCCGGTCTCTACGGCAGTTTACTTGGCCAATGCCCAAGAGGCAAGGCAGAAAATGAGAAAATGTCAGACTGTCTGCTTCATGCTTCTCCTTGCTCAGGACAATGCATCATAATGTAACCTAGGCCTAAAGAATAGAGAGAAAAAGGCCAAAATGTTCTGGATAACCTATGGGGAGAGTAACTTTAATAAAATCTAGTAAGGAATAACTGCTTGTGTTGCTGCTTTCCCTCAGTCAGGTTACTAAAAGGGTCTCTTTTTTTCTGCTTTAAATATGCAACAAGCAAGCAGAGCACGATGAGATTTGCCTCATTTCTGTAGGAAAGGAGATTATGAGACACAAAGGTACGAGTTGTGGCTGAGGAGGTCTGCAAGCCTCCAGCCCGAGATGCTGGGACATGACCCTGGAGATGTTCCCTGCATCCGTAGCCACTGTCCAAGGCAGGGTAATGGGCTAGATGTCCTCACCTCATTTGCTTGTATCTCTTCAATTACTCTATCAAATTCAATTGAAATCAGCAAATAGATTCACAAATTATTACAGGGAACAACCAGGCGGCAAGACCCAAGGCAACCAATGGACACAGTGTGGTTCCATAGGAAGCCAGGCTAAAACAAAACACTGGTGTTTGAAAAGTTACTAATGAAATTACTTCTTTAGGAATGTTTGCTGGTTTCCTACAGGGAAAAAAAAAAAAACAACCTTATTTCATTTTTATTGAATGGCATTCATCAGAGATTACAATTCAGGAGGCGAACCTCTGAGTTGTTCTGTGTAAAGAAAATTTTCCTTGAAATAAGAAATATATTTATTAAAAAAAAAAAACAGTCCTCTGTTCCGCTGCTTACCCACCAAGATAACGAATTGCCCAAATTAATGTGAGCAAAATTTACCATAAGCCCAGAATATTAACTGGGAAATTCCAGTGTTCTGGAAACTTGCAATAAGAGAAGGTGGAATTGCTAAAAGTATAAAAGCCAAAGCCTCTGCTGAGGTCCATGTATTCTTTGTTTATGCCACTACAGAGTGTGCTAGACAAATGTGTAGAATTTGTAAAATCCTTTGGGAATCCCTGAAAAATGAAGTGGTGAAAAAAAGATTAGCTCCTTACACAAGGGCATAATAAAACTACTGAACATTTCTGTCTTAATTGTGCTTCGTGATAGAGTATAAGGGAAAGTTATCATGGCTGAATGAAATGCCAAACTCTCCTAGCAGCAAAATGCCTTCTTTAATGTAATAGCAGGAATAAACCTCTCACTTCTGAAATATAGTTGACAAAAAAAGGCTAATAACTCATAAAGGTTTTACATACACTGAAAAAAAAAGTCAAAGCCTGTAAAGTTACTATGCACGAAATATGATAATCTAAATCAGCAGTTTAACTTGCACTTCTGCAGATCAGAGCTAATATTCCCATTGCATACAGCCATAATAAAACGTACTGTTCCACTGACAACAGAAGAAAACATTGTGCATTTTCATTTGTTTTATTTCATTTTCTCACTCATAAAATATGCCTTTTGCCACCTGTCAGTGCATTCATCCTCCTCAGTTGGAGGCTGGCAAACCATACTTGACACAGTATCTGTTCAAGAGAACTGAAAATAATCCTCTGAAAGTGAGGACCGCAATCTCTACTTGTAGCCTTAACTCATGGGAAACAGAACCATATGGTTAGTGTAGAGTAATTACGGTGAACGATAACGAGAAAAGTTGCTGAGGGGATTTCAAAGCAGGAATACCGCAGAACAGTTAAGTGACTGCAAACGAGTTAGGATGGAGTTCAGTGCAGCGTTGAGATGTGTGGAATTGGGAGTCTTCAGTGGAGTTGTCTACCCATGAACTTCATTTGGGCTCTGGGGAGAGCGATGGCTTGATTTAGTTCCCTAAATGCATCCCACCTGGGATGCTCTGGGTATCCTGCCTGGCCCACAGCCACCAGACCTGACAGGTGTGGGTCTCTTGTAGGTCCTGTCTCATATCCACCAGCCCTGGATAGGTAATGCACTCAAATCTCTGCTTTGGGAGAGGAAGTCTTGCCTTATGCAGCCCCTCCAAGTCCCATAAACTAGGACTCAGCCCACTGGCTCCTGATCCCCATCGCCTGCCCACAAGGCTTGGTGTCAGGCTGAAACCCAGAGGTTTGAGGCAGGAACCTGGGCTCGTGAGAAGCTTGTGAGAAAGGTGCTTCAGTGGCAGCCAACCCCATGGCTTCTCACAGCCATGTGTTTCCATGCACAGAGCATCGTCTCATGGCTGGAGAAGAAGGGATCTAGAGCAGACCCTAAGCTCTTCGTAAAGAAAAAACCTTCTTCAACAGCGATGTTACTTCCAGACCAGTTTCTATTTGAGCAGGAACCCAAGGGGATCCCAGGATCTTCATCCACAAAGAGGAGGTGATAGCAGCTCTCCAGGCAGCTGATGCAGTATTATTATGGCATAACAAACTGAATATTTTGGGCTCCCTTTGGGTCTGTTCAATAACTCTCTATATCCTGAGCTTCAGGTGCCAAAAAATACAATTTTAGACCTAGTTGCAGTGGATGAAAGCTGGATTAGGAGCCAACTCATCTTGGAGCTATAGTAAATCCGTCCTCTGGCTGATACCTGAGCAAGCAGACTCACTTGTGCAAATGATCCATTTTTGGTGAAATGCTAGGCCTATTGTTGCTTC